GAGTGCTGTGGTGTCACAGCTCACAGCAACCTCCAGCTCTTGGGCTTAGGCAATTCTCTTGCCTAAGTCTCCCAAGTAGCTGGGTCTACATGGGCCTGCCATAATGCCTGGCTACTTTTTGTTGCAGTTTGGCCAGGGCCGGGTTCGAGCCCACCACTCTCAGTATATGTGGCTGGCGCCCTAAACTATAGGTGCCGCCATAACAATGAGCTTTTCAATAATGGATAATATTTTTATTATGTTTCCTACATGTTTGGAGAATTTTAGGACCATTTCATTTAGATAAATTAGTTGCTTTGCCCAGCATTACCTGGGTGTATAAAGTCATTAAGAAAAAACTATATCCAATATTGTATACGAGAGAATTTATCCATTGATTTTTAGAGCTGAATTTATTTTAATTCATCTCCATGAATATAATAAGCCCTTCATAATCACCTCTTGCTGTCAGATATTTCCTGCTATCAGATCTTCTATATCATATAGATCAACCAACCCTTAAAGCGCTACTTTCTTTATGATAGTGGCATAAATTTGACATACTGAAATAAGTTCCAAGTCACAAATCCGATAAAGTTTAGTAGTGGCTTTCAAAACTCTCATCCTTATCTAATGAGACAAACCATTCAAAGTGAAAACAGGGCTGGCAGCAGTGGCTCATGCCTATAGTCCTAGCACTCTGGGACACCAATCAAGGTGGGTGGATGACCTGAGCTCGGGAGTTCAAGACCAGCCTGAGCAAAGCAAGACCCTATCCCTACTAAAAATAGAAAAAACTAGCAGGGTATTGTAGTGGGCTCCTGTAGTCTCAGCTACTCAGGAGGCTGAGACAACAGGATCTCTTGAGCCCAAGAGTTTGAGGTTGCTGAGAGCTACCCAGGATGACTGAGCAAAGATCTGTCTCAAAAAACAAAAACAAAACCAGAAAGAACCAAAGTGAAAATGGTAGGAAAACAGTCAGACATAAACCGACTGTGAGACTGACCTAGATAAATGGGCAGCTACAGGGTATCATCAAGGGGATTACTAATTCTAAATTGTTGCCAACACCTTAACATTCTGCTTTCTGTATCCTATGTCCATCATCTCTAGCATTTGGGAATTAAGGTTTTTTTTCTTTTTTTCCTATTATTTTCTCCTCCAATTCTTTATATTCATTATTTCCACTTGTCAGTACATACTCTTTAGGGGCGAGGGCAAGACAAACTACAACAAAAAAGATATTAAGACATTCCAGGCAAAGTATTTTACAATAATCTTACAGTCTTTCCGGGAAGAATCCACTACTACTCTGTTTATTGAAGGATTCTTTCATGAATGATTGCAATAGTAATGCCATAAGCAAAATTCTCTGTTGGGGACTAAGTGACTCATTTAACCTTATGCAATTATTTTCCTACCTGCTGATTCTTTTTTTTTTTTTTTTTTCCAGAAGAACAAGCTTATATTCACCACATCACCACATAAGTTGACTGAAATACCTTCATCCAACTTGGCTGGCCTGTCTGGAATTTCTTGCAAAATTCTATGACCATCTGCTAAACCGAGACTTCAAGAAAAATACTCAACAGGAAGTAAGTCACACACAATGATCGTATTTGGTTTAAAAGCTATTTTAACCTTGGTCTCGTGTTTCTTGGTCACTTTTGTGCCTGTCAAAAGTGAAATCATTACAAAAAGTTTCTCCTTAAACAGAATCCTAGGAGATGAGAAGAACTATTTTCCCTGTTCTGTAGCAGTCCAGCAGTGGTCAGGGACCCAGTCAGCTATTGGTCTCGGCCTCCTGTGATCTGTGTAGACACAGGCCTGGCAATGTTCACACAAGAGGCCAGTCCACCCAGTAAGGAATATTTTGACGGGTTCAAGAGTCAGTGGATTTGTATAGGGAGTAAACAGTGCTTGGCACATGGTGGATATTCAATAAATGGTTATGGAATAGATAAATTAAATGAATGAGAATGAAGAAATAATGAATGAACAGTTGACGGACAAAGAGTTAAAGGAATAAAAGCAGGATGTGTCGGGGGCTGCGAAAGGAACAGATCTGCCAGAATAAGCCAGTTAGAAGGACTCAAAGACCACTGAGGGCTTGGAAGGAAAAAAAATGGCCAAACTACTGCTGAAGCAAACAATCCTCACCACTCTTAAGAAATCGCTACTATTTTTAGTCCCATTTTACAATTGAAGACATTTAGTTTAGTGAAGTTAGGTACAACATGCCCAAGGTCACCTGGGTAGTAGGTGGTAGAACCAAGACCTCAAATCAAGTCTTTTTAAAATTCAAAGTCCATAATCTTAATCACTGTTATTCTTCCTCCACTATCTATTCTCCCTGCTTAGCATACTATAGTAAGCACTTGATAATATTTGTTGAAGGGATAGAGTAATGTGAGATTATGGCACTGTTATAAAATCCAGCCTATTCTTGACAATCTCACTAGTTCATAGATACTGTTGGCCTTACATTGTTTTAAAAGCTAACAGGTGGGTCAAAAAAGAACTAAAATGCTATTCTTAATGTTGGCACATTATTTCTATGTAGTATCAGTCCCCCCATGTTAGGATGACATCATGTTACTATTATAGCCATTTTTCAAGCATCAATAACTTGCTTTACATAGAACATATATTTAGATCCAAGAACGTTTTCAAATCTAATTAGTGGGATCTACAGTCTTCCTTTGCATCTCCTTTGCATATTGACTCATCTCTGAATCTAATGTTCCTTTTCATCTATAATTGCTGAGACATTTATATTATCCGTTTTATGGACTCTGGTGGTTAGAAAGAGATTGAGAAATACATCTCTAATTATTTCATTTTATAAATAAGAGAGAAAAGATACTTTGAAATAATTTCAAACTAACTACTTTTTTTTTGGAGTGCTTGTTATGTGCCAACCCCTGAGCCAAGTGCTTCTCATCTATTCTTAATTCAGTGAGGTAGTTTTGTTACTAAGGCCTGGTGATTTGCTCATATGGTAGGAGGTGCAGAGTCAGAGTGTGATTGCAAGGGGCAGGTGGAGTGGGAGGAAGGATCAGAAACTACCTATGTACAACGTACACTATGCAGGCGATGGGTACACTAAATGCCCTGGCTTCACCCCTATACAACTTGCCCATGAATCCAAAAAACCCCACGGTACTACATAGATGTGTAGTACCATGCCCTGCTAGTTTTTCCAATTTTTCTTATAAATGGGTATAAGTATCCCAATACTTGCTCAAGCTGGTCTTGAACTCCTGACCTCAGGCAATCCTCCCACCTCAACTTCCCAAAGTGCTAGGATTACAGGTGTGAGCCACCATGCCAGTCTTCTTTATTTATTTTTAGATGGAGTTTCACTCTGTTACCAGTTGTATCACCATAGCTCACTGCAACGAGCTATGGTGAGTGCAGTTGTATCACCGTAGCTCACTGCAACCTCAAACTCCCAGGCTAAAGTGACCCTGCTTCAGCCTCCCAAGTAGCAGGGACTCTAGGCATGCACCACTATGCCTGGATGTTTTTAAAATTTTTTGTTTAAATATTTTTGTTTAAAATTTTTAACATTTTTCCCAGACTGGTCTCAAACTCCTGGCCTCAAACAATCCTTCCACCTTGACCTCCCAAAGTGCCAGGATTACAGGTGTGAGCCACTGCAACCAACCAAATACACAATCTTCTTTTTTTCTGAGACAGAGCCTCAAGCTGTCCCCCTGGGTAGAGTGCTATGGCATTACAGCTTACAGCAACCTCCAATTCCTGAGCTCAAGCGAGTCTTTTACCTCAGCCTCCTGAGTAGCTGGGACCACAGGCACCCGGCACAACACCCGGCTATTTTTTGGTTGGTGGGTCTGGGCTGGATTTGAACCCACCACCTTAGGTGTATGTGGCTGGCACCTTAGCCACTTGGGCTACAGGCGCCGAGCCCAAATACACCATCTTCAGTGTTACTCCTGATTGAATGCTTCTTTCAAACAAGCAACAAATTGTTTTCCACGGCTCCCAAAATATGCATAGAGCAATAGTCTCTACAGACTCAAAGAGGGAGAAGGATATATCTTTTTCTAGGATGAATGGTGACCCATGCCTGGAGTAAGAAGCAACACTTACGTAGATAATGGAGAGAACTCCGTTATAATTTTTGGTTGAAACATTGAGGACAATCTTCAGCTGTGAGACCAGCACTTGGAAGGCAGCAGCTGTTGTGAATCCACCAACCAAAGGATCTGCCAAGTACCTCACTATGAATCCAATCTGCAAACCTCCAAATATCAACTAGGGTAAGAAAAGGGAAGGAAAATTAAATTGTTGCCAGAGAAAAGAATCAACTCTCTGGAAGTATTAACGAATTAAGCTTAACACCAATTCAAACACTGGTATCCTGTCTGTACCAGAAAAATACTTGGAGGATACAAATCTAAATTTCTCAATGCCTTCTCTCTCCCCTCCCCTCCACCACTCTAAAATTCAAAAACATGTAACATAAACCCTGAAGTATTTCTATTATTCATAAATACTAAGAAAAGCAAAAATCATGTAGCTTATTTCTACGACTTTCAGGTCCTGTGGCTCCGCTCACCAGACACTGTTTTATGGATTCCGGAACACTTCCCTTCTCTCATCCTCAATTGAATTACACATATTCTTCTGTGTCTTTTTTCTGTCTCTGACTTTGATGATAAGTGAGCCTTAATAAGTGGAGTCTTGCTGACTATTTTAGCATCTGACCTAAAACAAAAAATAACTTTGGGAGCCAGGAAATTTTTTTTGTTTGTTTTGCTTTCAGGAGAAGCTTTAAGTCCATTTGCTTTCAAGTTAATCAAATAAAAATTATACCCATCGATATTTTACTTGTAAGTGCATTACCTGTATGATTCCAACCAAAAGTGTGAGAGTGCTGGCAATCAACACTCTCGCTGCATCTCTAGCTGCAGAGTCTATCAGGGTGGTATTGGCTGCAGTTCCATTAACGCTGGACACAAGAAAGTTTTCATCGGGGGCCATGCTCAGAACCACAGATCCCACCATTAAACTGACCACTGGAAAAGGTCCTGGGGGAAAAAAGCCTCTAACGATTAATCAGGTATTAATCACAAATGTTCAACATGTCCACATAGGATTGGAAAGATGTGTGAAATAATTAGCCACAACTAGAAAAATTTTGTTCATAAAAGAAGCTAAAAACCGAGTGTCTCAAGGCATTCATGACCCGGAAATGCGTGAGGGAAATGTGTAGATAGGTGATTGTAAGACAGGTTCAAGATGCTTTGTGAGCACCTAGAAAGGAGGTCTAATCTACCTGTGATTCTCATAAGGGGGCAGAGGGGGAGAGTGGTCAGTAAAAGTTTCCTGGCATGAAGGAGTTATCATAGGTGACCTCAAACTAAAATCAATCCATCAATAAAAAGGGTTTATATAAATTGACTTCTCTCTTGTTCCACTCCTTTTTTATTCCACATACTCTCATTCATTTCCTAGAGTGTCCAAGGTCTTGATCTCTGTCAATCTGAGTACCATCCACGATCAACAGCCCAGGGTTTAAATTAGGACTAAGAAGCCGCAAAGGGAGTCTATAGTTTCTCTTTTTCTTTTCACAAGACAAATTAGTTTTCATATCAAATGACAATCTGTAAGATTTTTGCGTTTTAAAAAACTACTCTTTTCTGCCAGCAACTCCTTTGTTCACTACTGCTATTTCTGTCCATGGTGACGATGATGGTGATGATGATGGGCCAATCCTTTGATCAAGGAACATTTTGTGGTTGGGAAGACTCAAAACCCAAACCCAGTCACCTGCAGTGTCTGAAGGTGTAGAATACCAAAGGGAACATCAGCTTCCTTGTTCCACCTTTCATCAGTTATTTGATATGATCAATTTTCCATGGTGAATAAGCTCTTTTATCCAACAATAACCCTTTCCTGATCTCCTTCTCCGCACAAGGCAACATGATAGATACCGGGGGCGGGGGGAGGACACAACTGAGGACAGGGATGTGAGCTGTATTTGTTTTAAGAGGATCATCCAGGTAGACGTGTCTAGCCAGCAGATGGGTATAGGAGCAAAATTGTCTCTAGCGTAAATGTCAAAGTCACAAAATAGCATTAAGGCATTCGTTGACTAAACACTCTAGCAAAAGAGAATTTAAATTATAGGAATGGCAGGAAAACCTATTATAAGCCATACCAAGAAGGAAAGCCAAGCTTAGCTTCTAAAGTGTTTTGGCAAGATTTTGCCAGTCTCCCAATATAAGTGACTTAAAATAAGTATGTTCTTTAATGAAATAATGAATATGCATTTGGTGAACATGATTTAGTAAATGCTAAGTTAATCTGGTAAAATGGTTGGTTCAAAGACCTTGTGAGATTTTCTTCCCTGCCGTTTTATATTTTGGAAGAGAACATTTTCTATATATGGAATTGAATCCATTACATTTTTAAGAATGAAAGCATGCTAAAGTTTGAAGGTAAACTATAATTTTTAGCTTTTCAATGTTCTATACTTCATAAAGAAAACTTATGTTTAAAGCTAACTAACATCACTGAATAGGAAAAGAAGGCAAAGCATTGAAGCTCTATTTCCCTGAAAAACATTAACAAAGGCATAGAAGCATAATGCACATGATATATTCAAAACACTTAACACGTGAACAAATACAGTCATAAGTATGCTTATAATTACCAACTGAGATATGTCTTGATGTTCCAAAGATGAAGTATGTCAGGATAGGAAAAAAGGCAGAGTAGAGACCATATCCAATCGGAACCGCAGCGAGTAAAGCATACGCCATCCCTGAAAGGACATCCAAAATGACTCAACTCACAGACAAAAGTTAAGGTACACAGATGACGTCCCCAGCTTCAGCTGGTACAACTTCATGATTTTTCACTTGACGATGGTGTGAAAGCAATGTGCACTCCGTAGACACTCTCCTTACCTACTCATACGACCATTGTGTTTTTCACTTTCAGTATAGTACTCAATAAATTATATGAGATGGTCAATACTTGACCATAAAATAAGCTTTGTGTTAGCTAATTTTGCCCATCTATAGCCTAATATAAATGTCCTAAGGACATTTAAGATAGACTGGCTAAGTCACGATGCCTGGTAGGTTAATTAAAAGCATTTGACTTGGGCAGCGCCTATGGCTCAGGGGGTAGGGTACCGGCCCCATATACCCAGGGTGGCGGATTCAAACCCAGCCCCCGCCAAACTGCAACAAAAAACTAGCCGGGTGTTGTGGCGGGTCCCTGTAGTCCGAGCTTCTCTGGAGGCTCAGGCAAGACAATTGCCTAAGCCCAGGAGTTGGAGGTTACCGTGAGCTGTGTAACACCGCAGAACTCTACTGAAGGTGATAAAGTGAGACTCTGTCTCTACAAAAAAAAAAAAAAAAGCATTTGATTTAAGATACTTTCAACTCACAGTGGGTTTATTGGGATGTAATCTCGTGGTAAGTAGAGGGGTATCTTTATTTCTACTGCAACAACCTTTCATAAATATTCAGTTTACAGCTTTGACACATCAGCCTGTTCTTTTTTTTTTTTTTGAGACAGAGCCTCAAGCTGTCACCCTGGGTAGAGTACCGTAGCATCACAGCTCACAGCAACCTCCAACTCCTGGGCTCAAGCGAGTCTCCTGCCTCTACCTCCCAAGTAACTGGGACTACAGGTGCCCACCACAACACCTGGCTATTTTTTGGTTGCAGCCATCATTGTTGTTTGTTGGGCCAGGCTGGATTCAAACCCGCCAGCTCAAGTGTATGTAGCTGGCACCTTAGCCATTTGAGCCACAGGCGCCGAACCACATCAGCCTGTTCTGAATGACCTGTCTCCTTATTTTGCACACAGAGGATGACGATGCTAGTGTGCAGAACAGGATCCAAATCAGTTTGAATAAATGATTACATCTACAGCCATCACTTGCTCAAATGAATTGGCTCAACTGATCAGTGATTCAAACATCCACTGATCACGTCAATGGTAAAAAAAACAATCAATTTAAGTTGGGCCAGGTGCGGCGGTGGCTCACACCTATAATCCTAATACTCTGGGAGGCCATGATAGGTGGATTGCTTGAGCTCACGAGTTTAAGATCAGCCTGAGCAAGAGCAAGACCCCCATCTCTACTAAAAATAGAAAAAAAAAATCCTGAAGCAAGTGGATCACTTGAGTCTGAAAGTTTGAGGTTGCTATGATCTATGACAGCGGTCCTCAAACTTTTTAAACAGGGGGCCAGTTCACTGTCCCTCAGACCATTGGAGGGCCGGACTGCGGGCCCCAGGAGGAGTCAGCTGCTAAGCAGGACAGGCTATGGTGGCAAAAACAGCCCGCGGGCCAGATAAATGTCCTAAGCAGGCTGCATGTGGCCCGCGGGCCATAGTTTGAGGATGCCTAATTCTACGATGACACTATGACACTCTACTTAGGGCAACAGACTCTGTCGCAAAGAAAAAGAAAAAGAAATCAGTCCAAAGGCTCAAACCAGCTTTGTCTGCGTTCAGTGTCCCTCTGAGCTCTGAGAGACACAGTCAGTGTTGCACTGTTCTTTCTCCTTTCTTGTCATGGAAGAAAAGTTAGATCCAAAGAAAGAAAAAATACAGCAATTATATATAGCAGCAGGCAAGACAACTCTACCCTGGTGAAGGTGACTGACCCCTCCCCTGTGCTATGCCAGCAGACGCAAGGCCCAGAATGTCAGGCTATTAAAAAATCCACATTTCAGTGTGCCCTGGAGTTGGAAGAGGCTAATGACACATTTTTTCCTTGGTTAAAAACTTAGGTAGTCAGCACATCCATTCTACCTCTCCACTTTCACTCACAATGAAAGACCTTTTACTCTTATGACAATTTTTTAAGACTGGCAACAACCTTAATATGCAGAGAGAGACTTTTCAGTTTTCATACAGAGTGTCCTATTTAGGGACAACTGCTACTCAGATATTCTATAATTATCTTTATTATAAAGGAAGAACTTGGTACGACAATTTTAAAATTATACAATTTGTGAAGAAACCTAAACCATTTATTTAAACCAAGAAATCTCTGTGCTGGTGCCATGATGTTATAGGATGGTGGCATATACTGATAAGCAGGGTCTAATAAACACTTGAAAACATCTAAAAAGCAAAGCCTTCTACCATGTGAGGACCCAGCAAGGAGACGGGCCCTCACCAGAAACTGAAACTGCGGGCACCTTCATGTTGGAGAAAGATATTTGTATTCATTTAAATAAGTAAATAAGTCAAGCAAGCAAGTAAATAAACAAATAGATGTATGTCAAACGCAGAAAGTGGACAGCAGCACAGCTGTGAATCAAGATAGCACAGCAAGGACTGCGTCTGTCTTGGCCACCAGATTGGAATGTTCTTTGCAATCATGACAATCAGAAAGATCCTGTAAGCCTTAGCAGCTCTCTGGCTTCTCAGTAATTTGAGCCAGCACCCTCCTGTCTCCACTGCCATCCTTGCCCTCCCCAGATTCCAAGGAATTCTGCTAGCATTCTTCACTCCTTTGCTTCACTTTGTTTCTCCTTCCTTTTCCTGTCTGGGAAAACCCCAATCTGGCTGACCCCAAACATTCACCTTTTCCATGAAAGCCTCTGAGCAGCTGGATAACCTGGACTGGAAGCATCCGTGCATTGGTACCCAGTTTCAGATGAAATGTGTGATCATTAGTCCTAGGTGGACACTCAAAGCTGCCTGGCAGTCCACTTACATCTCTCTCACACAACTACTCAAACTGCCAAACCCTTCTCCAAAGTTAAGAGATACATCTTACACTTAATCAAAAGCACAGAATCAGGCCGGGTGCGGAGGTTCACACATGAAATTCTAGCACTCTGGGAGGCTGAGGCGGATGGATTGTATGAGCTCAGGAGTTTGAGACCAGCCCAAGCAAGAGCAAAACCCTCATCTCTAAAAAAGGAAAAACCAGTCAGCATTGTGGCAGGTACCTGTAGTCTCAGGCACTTGGGAAACTGAGGCGAGAGGATCACTTGAGCCCAAGAGTTTGAGGTTGCTGTGAGCTATGATGATGCCACAGCACTGAATCCCATGGCAATAGAGTGAGACTCTTTCTCAAAAAACAAAAACGGAACACACACACACAAATAAAGCACAGAATCCATAAGAGATGCTCCCAAGTTGCTTTTCAGCAAATTGTCAAACCTCTTTGCATCACTTTCTTTGAAACTCTTCTGCCTTTAAGGAGGAGTAATCCTCTCTCTTCTATTCTCAAATTTGCCCATACCTTCCCCCTTTACCACTTTTTTTCTAGTTGTCTTTCTTTGACTTCTTGGACCATAACATCTCTTTCTTTCTACAGAGTTATTCCCACCAGTTCACAAATATGTTCTAGTATCTTCCATACTAAAAAGAAAAACAGGGCTAGGTACCATCCCCTTGCATCCAGCAACCTCAAACTCTTGGACTCAAGCAATCCTTTAGCCTCGGCCTCCCAAGTAGCTGGAACTACCAGCACCCACCACAATGCCCAGCTACTTTTTCTATTTTTTAAAAATAGAGATGGCGTCAGCTCAGCGCCTGTGGCTCAAGTGGCTAAGGCGCCAGCCACATACACCTAAGGTGGCCGGTTCAAATCCAGCCCAGGTCCACCAAACAACAATGACACCTGCGACTCGGCGCCTGTGGCTCAAGCGTCTAAGGCGCCAGCCACATACACCTAAGGTGGTGGGTTCGAATCCCCATCCCGGCCCGCCAAACAACAATGATGGCTGCAACCAAAAAATGGCCAGGCGTTGTGGCGGGCACCTGTGGTCCCAGCTACTTGGGAGGCGGAGGCAGGAGACTCGCTTGAGCCCAGGAGTTGGAGGTTGCTGTGAGCTGTGATGCCACAGCACTCTACCCAGGGGGACAGCTTGGGGCTCTGTCTCCTAAAAAAAAAAAAAAAAATAGAGCTGGCGTCTTGCTCTTGTTCAGGTTAACTCCTAAGCTCAACCATCTCAGCCTCTCGAAGTGTAAGGATTAAAGGCAGGAGCCACAGCTTGACCATTTTTTTTTTTAATTAAAAAAAAAACTACGTTCGACTTGGTGCCTGTAGCACAGTGGTTATGGCACCGGCCACACACACTGAAGCTGGCTGGTTTGAACCCAGCCCGGAGCCAGCTAAACAACAATGGCAACTGTAACAAAAAATAGCTGGGCATTGTGGCAGGCGCCTGTAGTCCCAGCTATTTGGGAGGCTGAGGCAAGAGAGTCGCCAAAGCCCAAGAGCTAGAGGTTGCTGTGAGCTGTGATGCCTCACCATCTACCGAGGATGACATAGTGAGACTGTCTCAAAAACAAACAAACAAACAAACAAACTACCCCTACCCTTTTGGCTTCTGATCACACATTCCTTTGTTCTTTTCCAACTCCCAGGGCCCAACTACCCTAGGCTCCTCATTGCCCCTTTCCTCAGCTTCCTAACCTCTAAATACTCCACCTCCTTCTGCATCTGCCTTTCTTCCCGGGTAATCACAGGCATTTTGACTCTTTTAAATATCACCTCTAAAGTGATGCTTTCCTGATTTTTATGTCTAGCCCAGACCTCTCCTCTGAATTGCACGCTTATAGCAGCTCTAACTTCTCTATTTGGCATCTCCACTTAGACATCTCACATGCATCTCAAACTTCGCCTGTCCAAAGGAAACTCTTGATTTTCCATCCCAGATCTGCCCCTCAGCCAGTCTTCGCCATTTAAATAAATGGATGTAACTATCTCCTCAGTTGCTCAAGCCAACAACCTTGGAGGAATCTGTGATTTTCATCTACACCCATGAGTATATGTCAGTGATTCCTGCTGCAAAAATACTTTTCAGATCTTACAGCTCTGGCCACATCCTGCCTGATCTGGTTCAAACCAACCCACCTGTCCTCCCTCCAATTCACAGACTTACCCCCCCAGGGCTAGGAATAGGGTGAGGCAAGCAAGGTGCCTAGGGCCTAAGATGTAAAGAGGCACCTGAGAGTAAGCAAGTCCCTTGCCTCATTCTAACCCTGGCCCTGACTACCCTTATCTCATTGTCTACCCACCCTTCCCACTGCACTCCCCCACATTAAAATTCTTCCTATTCCTTTTTGAAAATACTAAACTCCCATTGGCCTCAGGGCCTTTGAACTTTTACTTGGTACACTCTTCTTTCTGCTCATCATGCAGCTGCCCCCTGGTCATCCTCTGACCTTCGACTAAATTTCACCTCCGCAGTAAGGCCTTCGTTGACCATTGTATCTAAAACAGATCTCCCCTTTCAAATTGAACCCTATTAATGGGGTAAAGCCTCCAATCCACCACAATGGAGATCACAGTCTATAATTATTTTTCTATTTATCTACTTATTTAATTACCAACGCTATCACTCAGCATAAGCAATACCCGTGCCTGTTAGCAAACCACTGAATCCCTGTGGTTGAACACTTGTCATACAGAATTGACCTAAATGTTAGGCAAATGAATGATAAGTTAATGTGTGAATGAGTCAGATTAACTTCTAGAAATTTGCCTTACAAAGATAACTTGATAATGTTTCTGGAAAAACACATTACCCATAAAGTAAGGAACTACATAGTATATAAAATAAGATTGTGGGAATTACATCCCAGGATTAAATTTCAGCTTAATCACTTGCCAGTTTCATGGCCTTAGACAAGATTTAGTAGATTTCTCATCTATTGAAAAGGAGATTATAAACAGAACCTACCTAGTAGGGTTGTTGTGAGGATTAAATGAGAACTGGCCAAAGCCTTTAATTATTAAACAAACTTAATTCTTATATATGATACTCATCTATGAAAACTGCAGAGATATGGAGCTTGAAAACTTTTTTTCCTATATAAAGATGATTCATTATCAGGAATGAAAATCTGTCCTCTTCACTAAACACAGCATCTATCATATGCCAGTCTCTGTGCTAGAAACCAGCTAAACAAACATGAACCAGACACGGTTCCTGCCCCCCTGACTACAGGGTATTGACACATCACAGCCATTACAGTGCATACAGGGGTGTCCAACCATAGTCCATGGCTGGCCATGAAGGCTTATCTGTAGTAATGCATATCACGAAAATTATGCATGGACCTTTATTTGATCATCAGCTTTTATTTTGGGAGGTTGTTTGTTTGTTTGTTTGTCTGTTTTAGAGACAGAGTCTCACTTTGTTGCCCTTGGTAGAATGCCGTGACATCACAGCTCACAGCAATCTCCAACTCCTGGGCTTAAACAATTCTTTTGCCTCAGCCTCCCGAGTAGCTGGGACTACAGGCCCTGCCACAATGCCCGGCTATTTTTTCTGTTGTTGTTGTTGTAGTTTAGCCAGGGCTGGGTTCAAACCTGCCACCCTCGGTATATGGGGCCAGTGCCCAACTCACTGAGCCACAGGTGCCGCCCCTGTTCATTAGCTTTTGTTAGTATTTGTGTATTTAATGTGTGGCCCAAGATAGCTCTTAAATAAGCATTTATAGCCAGCTGCAGGCCATGGTTGGATACCCCTGGTGGGCATTGCTCACTCTATGAACTGCACGATCCATCCCTCTCTCTGTCTCTCCCCCCTTTCCTCCCCACCCCTCATCTGCCTTTGTGTTTGAGGGCTATTCTATGGCCCCAGTGAGGAGCCTTAGTCTGATGAGGCCATAGAATAGCCTTACTCTCTGTGAGTATCTACCTGGCTTGGTCTGAGTAATCTCAAGAGCTCCATAACCAAATTTTAACTCACAGTATTGCTTAATATTTATTACTAGATTCTGAAATGGTCTGTTTTCAAGCCATTCCCACTCTACTCTACCTGTCATCACTTGGCAGACTCAGTCTTACTTAGCCTTCAGGAAAACTCAGCTTTGACAACTCAATTTCCAGGAAGCCATTCCTGATCCCCCAAGGCTGGGTTGAGTGCACCCCATTTGCCTTCTCTTAGCAAGCAAGATTAATCCTGCCACAGCCCTTACCACACTGAATTGTTATTGTCTGTCTCCCCATTGCACTATGAGCTCCTTGACAGCAGGCAGTGCATCTTGTTCATTTCAGCACACCTAGTGTGTGGCAAATACTAGGCGAATTATTATAAAATTATAATAAATAAGTGTGATTTCTGTTTACATGTTTTGGGGATTTGGGGGAATTGGGTGGGGTGGTGAGAGGGGCAGGAATAAGATGGGGATGGGCACCAGAGGAGAATGCCCATATTGCTATCACCAGTGACGCAACAGATTTCCAAGATGCTTGTGGAAATATTATGGTCAATTAAAAAAATAACAACCTATGATGGGATATTTTCCCAAAAGATTAAAATGAGAGGATGTATAAGAAAAGACTGGAGCAGGCAAAAAACATGTACATAGTCTAGGCTAATATACTTCCTTTCCTTTCCCTTAAGCTAGTTTCAAACTGCATGTTGAGACCCATGCATGGGATATAAAATAATTTAATGCTGCAATCAACACTTCTTAAAAGTAAAAAGAATAAAACAGAACAGAAATTTAAAAACCAGCACATATCACTTGTAGTAAGAATAAATACTTTATAAAATTTTATAAAATATTTTGATTTTGGGGGGGAGGGGTTGAGACAGAGTCTTGCTCTATTGCCCAGGCTGGAGTGCAGTGGCCTTATCATAGCTCATAGCAACCTTGAAATCCTCAGCTGAAGAAATCCTCCTCTTTCAGCCTCCCAAGTGGGACTACAGGCATGAGCCACCATATCTTTAGATATGTACATACAGATCATAATGTGACACATATTTTATACTGTGAGTTATGGTCAATAAAAATTGGGAAGCTACTGCTTAGTATATGCCTATAAGTTGGAGCCATGCAGCTAGAGGAGCAGTAGAGTCTCCCAGGAAGAGAACGCTAGGGAAGAGGAGAAAAGAGGTGAATTTCTCCACTGAGGGGCTCTAGAGGAAAGATGAAGGCCTTGACAGATAAGCAAGGATCTGGTACACACTCAGGGTAGCTGAGAGTAAGTTTTGAATGCTGCTGGAGTCTACTCACTTGAAAGCCAGCCCACCAACATCTTACCTTGCAATGTACCCACTAGTCCAGTACTAACTCCTGAAATGATGTCACTTAACAACCATTCCTTGATTCGGTATTTGGGGAGCCACTCCAAAATAGGCATGAGAGACTTGAGCACACCAAAGGCTCTCTTTCTTGAACAACTGTCAAAAAACAAGTGGAAACTGGGTTTCAAATCCAATCTCAGTCATAAGCCATTGCAAATCACAAAGTTAGGCACTGAACTCTGCTGATGTTTATAACTACTTAGAAGAAGAAGAATTTTATGGAAAATACTAACACTGAAGTGCTTACCGTGCATTGGCCAAGAATAATATCTGTTCTTGTAAATGTACTATACTAGAAAACACAGGATTAAGCGTCCCCACGCCCTTTTTCCTTTCTAATCCTCTGAGAAAATATTCCTACACAAGAACCCATTTTCCTGTCCAGACAGAGACCAATCAATGTGAAGTCTCTAAATGGAGATTAATTTTCAGACTTCTAAGCCAGGCGCCTTCTGCTTATTATTACTATTTCCTTTAAAGAAAAACAAACACACTCTGTATGTTTTAGTAATACAAGTGTGGAGCCAGATTTCACAAAAATCTCAACATAAATGTAGGTATACCTTACACCTTTCTGCTTATTATTTTTTTAAATTCAACAACCTATAGGTAAAAGAAAAGGTGGATATTATTCGACTGCTGATTTCAATAAATTGTTTTTTTAAATCATGACATGTATAAGAAATCTTAATGACTCAATTTTTGATATTAAGGAATTATTTTTTAGGTATGATGACAGACTGTGGTTATATTTTTCAAAAGAGTCTTTAGAGGTCCATACTAAAATATACAAAGACAAAAAGGATTCACAATATGAGATTTGGTTTGATACAATACTGTAGGGGACAAGGAGGAGGTGAAACCTGGTGATGAGTAAAATCACGCGGCTGGGGAGGTCTTTATACTATGTGTCTACTTTTGAGTACATTTTAAATGTTCTAAAATAAAAAGATTTTTTTAAAGAACATCTGGCCATGAGTTAAGTGCTAAGTTCCTTAAGCCTATGGTATCTACTAACGGATGGCACACGTGGCCTTAGAGACTGACAGTGTTCCCCGGGGGGTCCCATTGCCTCCTGGTGAAGAACTTGGAGCGCTCACGCGCTCTGGGGTCGAGCTTTTGGTTCTGGGTCCCTAGCTGCAGGGGTTCCCGCCTACGAAGGACTCCTGCTCAGGCCTACCCAGCGTGTCTTTCAAGCTATGCCCTTTCTTCCCCCGGTCCACAATCCAGCCCTCACGAGCAGTAGGGACCCACTGTACCCGAAGGTGCACTCCAGGTTTCTTCAAGAGGGCAAAGAAGAGATGGGACTCTCCTATCGTTCCCAGATAAGAGTTGGTTCGGGGCTGGAGACTGATGGAGCCACCCTCCGACCCGGAAGGGCGGTGTTGAGGACCCGGACCCAAGGTCGGGCCTCCGGGAGAAGCAGCGGGCGCCCCGGGGCGGCCGCCCGCATCCCCGCTCGCCCGCAAGGCACGCCCTCCCGGCAGGGCGCCCCGCGCCCCGGCTCCACTGGTCCCCGCGCGCGGCTACCTGCAGCTTTTGGTCAGGCTCTCCCGCAGCGTCTTGCGCTCCTGCAGGCGCCGCTCGTGCTTTTGCTGGAAGGCGAGTTCGCTGTAGACCGGCCGCGACACCACGTAGCTGTAGCTGTACTCGGGGAGCTGCGGCGGCTCCGACCCGCCGCCCGGCGCTGCCATGACCTGCGAGCCCGAGGACAGAGAAGCACAGTAAGGAGGAAGGAGCTGCGGCGAGGGAGGATAACCGCAGGTGAAGAGCGAGAATCACAGAGAGGGAACCACCTGTTAGCTGCCTCTCGGTCCCCACCAGGCTCAGGCCACCCCGGCGAGCTCGACCCCCGCGAGCCTAGTTGGTGTCCCGCAGCACTCGGCCCTGGCGACGCGCCGCCCCACCGCGCGCACGGGCACCCTGCAGGGGGACACCAGAGTCCCTGCACCTGCTCCGGCTCCGAAGGGAATGACCTCCGCTTCGGGCCCTTCAGAGCTCGACCCAGTCCCCCCGGCTGCTTGGGCGCTGTCCGCGTCCTGAAACCTCCCCTAAACCAGAGCTGGGACAGGGGCCGGGAGCACGAGCGAGTCGAGAAGGGGACACTCCCTCTCCGAACCTGACCCAGAACGCAGCTTAGGGGAACGCGGGGCCCGGGGCCGGGCGTGGGACCCTCAGGGCAGGCTCCCGGGGCCTGAGGCTGCGTGCTCTGGGGACAAATTCCAGCAGCGGTTGCAGCTCTTCCGGTGGCGAACTTTGTACGGGTGGAGCACTTCTCTTCCCCGATCCTAGTCTCCTGCTCGCTGTGAGGGTCTTAGAAAAAAGCTCTGTACCCCGGGCTCCGTGCCCCCTGGCTAGTCCGGTCCTCAGCCAGCGGTACCCCCGGGGGAGGGATGCCGCCTGCAGGAGCTGAACTCACCTGCCTCTGCTCGCGCCCCGCCCTGAATGCCCGGCGGACTGCTGTCCAGCAGCCTTTATAGCGCTGGCAGAAGGCAGTGAGACGTTTTATTTACAGAGCAATAGAGACGCGTTGGTCCAAAGGAAGGACACACAGGCTGCGGTCTTTCCCTACCGATCCTATCAGGAAAGAAATACTACTCCTCCCACATTCTTTCTCTTTTCCTAACAGGGAAGGCTGAGACTCTTACTGTCACATAGGGGCCACCCGGATCCTCACTCACCCCACAATTACTAATGCGGGCTGAGAGGTCAGGGGCGGGCCAGGCCCGGGGACTCGTTAGTGGAGAGCAGAGCCCAGGAAAAAGGTCAGCGATCGCTGTGAGCGCCGACCTTGACTCCTAGGTTGTGAATCAGGGAACTCCAGTCCCGCACAGGTGAGGAGGAGAGCGGCGGTGCCAGTTTTCTACGTTAATACGCCTTTGGATTTCTAGAAAGTCTTTTAGAAGTAATCCGGGGGCGGGAGCTGTAGTTTATAATTTACTTATAAATTTTAGATACACAGATTTTTAGATGCATACACTTTTCTCTCTGTGGGTGTTATATATCACAAATATGTCACAATCTAAATCAAATGTTGCGGCTCGGCGCCTGTGGCTCATGTGGCTAAGGCGCCAGCCACGTACACCCAAGGTGGCGGGTTCGAATCCAGCCCAGGCCTACCAAACAACAATGACGGCTGCAACCAAAAAAATAGCCGGGCGTTGTGGCGGGCGCTTGTAGTCTCAGCTACTTGGGAGGCTGAGGCAAGAGACTCGCTTGAGCCGAGGAGTTGGAGGTTGCTGTGAGCTGTGATGGCTCAGCTCTCTACCCAGGGGGACAGCTGGAGGCTCAGTCTCAAAAAAATAAAAAATTAAAAATAAATAAATAAATAAATAAATAAACCAAATGTTGGCCAGGTGTGGTTATTCACGCCTGTAATCCTAGCACTCAGGGAAGCAGACACAGGAGGATTGCTTCAGCTCAGGAATTCTAGACCATCCCGAGCAAGAGCGAGATTTTATTTCTACTAGAAACAGATAAATTAGCCAGGGGTAGTGGCACACGCCCGTAGTCTCAGCTACCCGGGACGCGGCAGGAGGATGGCTTGAGCCCAGGAATTTGAGGTTGCTGTGAGCTAGACTGAGGCTGTGGCCCTCTAAGCTGAGGCAATAGAGTGAGACTCTGTCTCAAAAAAAAAAAAAAAAAAATCAAATGTTCAGATGACCCCTTTTCTTACCTGAAAAGACTGGTCAGATCTTTCTTTCATCTTATCCATCTGGACCATCTGAGAGGGAATAGCTAACTGGAGGAGGGAGTGGGGGAGTTGGATCTGTCTGAACTCACCAATGTTTTGTCTTCTGTTGGGATAAATTTTGATAAAACTGACTAATGCACCTTTAAGATGAAGGGTGGAAGGAAGGGTTTGGTAAACCAGAACATTCCTACCCGTTTATCAGTGCTCTGAAGTAAATACAGAACAGGCTCCAAACACCAGTTACCCACTTACCTGGAAAATACAGACCACGATAATTCTACAAGCTCCTGGAGACAGAACTTTTTTTTTTTTTGAGGCAGAGTCTCACTTTATTGTTAGGCCATTCTCTTGCCCAGCCTCCCGGGTAGCTGGGACTACAGGCACCTGCCACAACGCCTAGCTAAATTTTTTTGTTGCAGTTTGGCTGAGGCCAGGTTCAAACCCAGCCCCCTCAGTGTATGGGGCCAGTGCCCTACTCACTGAGCCAGGAGAATCTTAGTGTAAATCCTCTCAAATTGTACACAATATGGTGGGAGAGGTGTGTTTTTCTGAGAAAGGAATGACTTAACAGCTGCTTACAGTAGATCTTCAAAGGCTTCCTTGACCCTATGGGGTTAAGAAGCATTAAGAAGCAACCTAAAAAGAAAATCCAGGTTATGGACTTCAGAATTTTTATCATCTGCAGAGGAGAGGAAAGGAATCTCTTGTGTTTGCTTTGTTTATGTATACCAGTGGTTCTTAACTAAGGGCTATTTTGTCCCCACAGGGCAATGCCTGTAGACATTTTTTGGTTGTCACAACTGGGGTGATAATATTGGAATCTAGAGAGTTAGAGGCCAGAGATGGCTGCTAAATATCATACTGTGCAGTTTGCCATCCTCTAAAATGTACATTTGTTAATAAATTGCTATTGTACTGAAAATATTCATTTGTCTGCAGGTATGTGTATATTTGTGTGTGTGCATTTCTTCTAAGTGGTAAAGTATTGCTGGGTGCGTAACTCACCTCCACTAAAATGGAGAAAAGTATTTGTTTCAAAGTAGATTCTCTCACATACACCTGCAAGGTCCAATAAAAATCATCTCTTTTATAAACATTCTTTAATGTTCTCAGTGAGAATTAATCCAGTCCCTTTTCTGGATTCACCTTATCTGATCCTCTCTTAAGGTGCCTCTCACTATCTACCTTAGTATCATAATTTCATTTACATACAAGTCTTATCTCTATCACTAGACAAAAATTTCTTGAGGGCAAGCACTATGTCTCCTTCCAACCATTACTACCTTCTATCATGTTCTCTGACCATAATTATCTGTAGCCAAAACATACTTTTTTCAAAACTAAAAATCACTTTACCTGTCGATCTACATTTTTTAAAAAAAATTAAGATTATATTATGAATATCTTTGCAGATGAGGACATGTGGATTTTTTCTTAACCTTGGCAAAGGCTGTCTAGGATTCCAAAATGTGAACTCATATACAAAGCTCCACGGTAACTCACCTTGATGACTCATGATTTTTTTTCTTTTTAGAAATAGGATCTGACTCTTAGTCATCAGGCTGGAATACACAGTCATGGCTCACGGCAGCCTCCAGCCTCTGAGACTGAAGTGTTCGTTCTGCCTCAGCCTTTGAGTAGCCAGGACTGTAGGCATCACCATGCACCGTTATTTATTTTATTTTATTTAGGATACATTAAAATTTGGTTTAATACTTCTTTGGGGAAAAAAATCACATTTTTAGTGAATGAACAAGAAGCATTTTTACAGTAGCAGTAGGTTATTATTTTTAACTACCATGCCATAAATTCATAGGGAAGAGGCTCCAGTAGCTCAGGGAGGCACCTTGCCATTGAATGTGACAAAGCGTTGATTGACTTCTGAATTCATGGGAAATAGGTTCCAGCACCTTGTATCACTGTTACATGGGGTCTAATGGGTTATCCTGGGTGCTATGCTGTACACCTATTATGCCATGAGCTCATGGGGAATAAATAGGCTCTTGCACCTAAAAGCATGGGTCCACTGATACTCCTGTGTGCTATGTTACATGCTGTATGCGATGAATTCATAGGGACTGGGTTCCAGGAGCTCAGGCTCCTTTCCGTTGGTTCTCACAAAGTGGGCTTCTCTGGGTGGAGCAGGCTGGCGCTTCAGTTGAACCCAGGTCCCTTTCTCTTTGGCTTCCTTCTTTTCCTGATCATTTTCCTTCACAGGTTTCAGGAAGCTATCTCGGCTCTTAGCTTAATATGCTCAATACAAACATTAATCCTCTTGGCAAGAATCTTGCCCTTAACTTGTTTGTTTACAACAATGCCAACAGCATGCTGGGCAACATCATAGACTCTTCCAGTGTTGCCATGGTAACATTTGTGTGGTATGCCTTTTTGAACAGTACCCATTCCCTTGATGTCTACAATATCACCTTTCTTGTAGATTCACATATATGTGACCAAAGGAACAACTCCATGTTTTCTAAAAGGCCTAGAGAACATGTATAGGGTGCCTCTCCTTTTTCTCTTTGTGTTTGTCATTTTAGTGAATTACTAGAAAATGGTGTCTCCAGCCGAAAATTTTTTTTTTTTTTTTAGAGACAAAGTCTCACTTTACCCCCCTTGGTAGAGTGCCGTAGCGTCACAGCTCACAGCAACATCCAGCTCTTGGGCTTAGGCAATTCTATTTCCTCAGGATCCTGAGTAGCTGGGACTACAGGCACCGGCCACAATGCCTGGCTATTTTTTGTTGCTGTTTGGCCTGGGGCCAGGTTTGAACCTGCCATCTTCGGTATATGGGGCTGGCGCCCTACTACTGAGCCATAGGCACTGCTCTGCACAGCTTTTTTTTTTTTTTTTTAAATATTTTTGTACAGACAAGAATACCTTGGCAAATTATGACAGTGTAATAGGTCATGGATAGATACTTGTTAAATTATTGATCAATTGATAGTTTAATGATGGGAGTTGAAAAACCATTTGGTAGGAGTGAAGGTAATTTTAAAAGATGAGAATTAGGCAGCGCCTGTAGCTCAGTGGTTAGGGTGCTGGCCACATACACCAGGGCTGGCAAGTTAGAACCCACTCGGGCCAGCTAAAAACAACAATGACAACTGCAATGACAACAACAAAACAGCCAGGCGTTGTGGTGGGTGCCTGTAGTCCCAGCTACTAGGGAGGCTGAGGCAAGAGAATTGCTTAAGCCCAAGAGTCTGAGCTTGCTGTCAGCTGGGATGCCTCAGCACTCTACCCAGGGAAACAGCTTGAGACTCTGTCTCAAAAAATAAATAAATACATAAGTAAAAAGATGAGAATTCATGCTTTTAAAAAATAATCAAAGAAAGGCCAGGCACAGTGGCTCACACCTATAATCCTACCCCTCTGGTTGGCTGAGACAGGTGGATTGCTTGAGCACAGGAGTTTGAGACCAACCTGAGCAAAAGCAAGACTGTTTCTAAAACTAGCCAGGCATTGTGGCAGGTGCCCATAGTCCCAGCTACTTGGAAGGCTGAAGCAAGAGGATCACTTGATGCTACAGCACTCTACCAAGAGTGACTGAGACTCTGTCTCCAAAAAGAAAAATAATCAAAGAAAGAATTCTTTGTAAACTTTATATGGCAGTACATTCAATTTATTTTTTTTGTTGTTGTTGTTAGTTTGTTTTAAGACGGAGCCTCAAGCTGTCCCCCTGGGTAGAGTGCTGTGGTATCTCTCACAGCAATCTCCAACTCCTGGGCTCAAGCGAGTCTCCTGCCTCCGCCTCCCAAGTAGCTGGGACCACAGG